TTGAATTTGGATGAACTGTTTCCCTGGTGTTCTTGGACTGAGCCTTACACAGACAGGAATCACAACCAGATGAGCTAATTTTACTTTATTGTAAGGTTACACTAGCAGAATCTTGCAAGTCTGAAAGTACATTTCTTCCCCCTCACCTTTACAGCCCAAGGAACTAGGGAGGGCCCTTCTGAAATGTTTGTCATGCCCCCATTCCTTCTTTTGACTCAGCTGCTGCTTGTCTGACTGTTGTCTAATGTGTGGCTCTTCCTCCTGTCTCCCAAGGTCATTCCCAGGTACTGTTACAATAATTCTCTGCCAAGGGTCAAGATGGATCTGTCTGTCTGTCTGTCTGTCTGTCTGTCTGTCTGTCTGTCTGTCTGTCTGTCTATCTATCTATCTATCTATCTATCTATCTATCTATCTATCTATCTATCTATCTATCTATCTGTGATCTTCTCTAGCCACTTATTGCATCTCATGTAACTAGGGTAGGCAGAGAAGGGTCTTGATATTATTATCACAAGTCCATCCAGAGTGTGTGCCACTATGCTGCATACATTTCCTAACTGTTGCTGTCCTGCAAGGTAGTCTCTAGATTAGAGAATTTAGCTTGCATAGAATATTGTGAGAGTGCTTGGGGTAAAACTGGGCTTTGGTTGCATTTGATGCTGGTCTGTGACTGTAATAAAGATTTGGTTGGTTGGTTGGTTGCCCTGTGGAATACTGGCATGTGGGATAAGTATGGTTGCTCTACTTTATTAAAGACCATTATGTCAAAGCCTTGATGGAAACAAGAAGATGTGTAATGAATACAGTTGGAATTAATTTAACTAAGTTTCCCTTTCCTTTCCTTATCTCATGCCTTTAATTTATTTGACTTGTTATTTCTAACTCCTTGTCTGGGCTCTATAGTATCTTTCTTACTCTGGAAGGGAAGAACAAGATAGCCTTGAATATATGCATGTTCATGCCACAACTTGGGATATTAGGTACTGCTTTGCATGCCTTTTCGGAGTTGTTTAGATCAAGGATGGGCACCCATTGGTTGACTAAAAGTCTCATTCAGTGTTTTTTCAGTGGCTGAAGGTTGTGATGATGTGGTGATGAGGCAAAGTGGATGGAGCCCCAACAGGGATTTTTCTGGATTTTCCTATATTTTCCTACATTCTGGTCTGGGTAGGTTGCTTTGGTGATTCTGTCTGATGATTTTAAGTTGAGTCTATTTTAGGTCTTAAATTAGGGTGTTATTACTTATCTCAAAAGGGGAGGCAATGTATGCTACCATTTTCCAGCAAACTAGATGGAGAGAAGTTCTAGGGGCCACAAAAAAGGGATTGGGGACACATCTCAAGCAGTCCATCCCTAGTTTAGAATTCCAAAGTGATGGACCCAGGAACTGCCAGGAGAAAATCTGCACATCTGGTCTAGGCATCCAGAGAGAGCTTGATGAAGGTCCTCCCTCAGTGTGAGGTTCATAAGGTATGGACTATGCAACAGGCCTTCTGAGTTGCAGCCACCCCCCTCCCCTGTGTCCTTGGAATACCATCCTCCCAGAAATACCAATGGCCCTATTTAGAATTTGCAAACAAATTATAACCCTCTGGGTTAAGTGTGCTTTTGGTCCTTAGCTATCCCTGGTGCCTTCTTACATTCTGCGTTTTACTGTTTTTCTTTGTTTTTCACATGGTAAGTTCTACCTTGTTACCTGCCCAGAGTCGGCTAACATAGGAACTGGAGATAAATATTGGAAATAAATAAAGTAAGTGTCAGAGAGTCACATCTGCTTTGTGGCTTCCCAATCTAGCACATGTTTGGAAAACCTTGATAGTACCTACAGCAATGGCCACAGAGGGATCACAACCACAGAGGTCATTAGTCCCAGCAGGAGGCTCAGTAGTTTCCAGGTGTGGATTATGGTAATGCAGTCGCTTTTTTCAAAGTAAAATGGGGCAAAGGCTCCTTTAGGAAATGTTTACTGGGCCTCAGAGAAGCAGGTTGACAGGGTCCTTGGGGAGCCCCAGCCTCAACAACTTATCTGAGGATGTCAAACAGCTTTGCCAGTTGAATTTAGCGTAGCTGATTGATCAAGAGATACTTTGCTCCAGGCATCTATATATTTCATCTTAGCATAACAATGTAGCCCTTGAATCACAATTTCTTTTCTTCAAACATGGAAAAGAAGAACTTTTGTCTGACCTTGTAAATGTTTTAAAATGACACCAGCAGCGTCTCTTCACATTCAAGCCGAACCTTGTATAGCTGTCAACCTTGTCCTTTTTTCAATGTGTAGATCATCTCCAAATAGGTGAGATTAATGCACAAACACATTTCTTTGTTTGGATCTGTGCTGGTGTGAACAGCAGATCTCATTCCTTCTATTTCAAGTGTTCATAACATGTATCAATGGTAATGCAGCCAAAATGACATCAGCTTTGTGTATAAGACTTGGGGGAGTTTGAAGGTTTGCAAAAGATAATACAATTTGTAAAATATGCAAGAAAAAAAAAAGTCTGGTGAAGTGGAGACTCCAAAGCAACGGAGTAAGGATCATGTGTGATTAGGAATCATAGTATGTGAACAGACTGTGGAAAGTGAGTCATGAAGTGTGTGGGAGAAAGAATACAATGAAATTTCCTAGAAAAGAGCATAATTGACTAACTTGAAAAGTAATTATTTCATTGCACGTCCTGCTTATAGCAGGTGTAGTTCTGCTTTGGGGCAGATGTTTGAAGTGAATGGGTCTTTGAATCTTGATTCTTCTAGGTGGGTAGTGTGGCACACAATTGTGTCAGTGTAATTGGCCTGTTGTTGATGTATAGTGACTCTGTATATTTCTCTGTCTGAAATTCCTCCTCCCCACTTTTTTCCCCCTTTGGGAGACGCATCTCATCTCTAACCAGTGTGAATGCTTATGTGTCAATTCCAAACCACATGGAGTTCACAGTCTGCTCTTCTGCAGCCTGCAGATGCTGAATTATATATTGAAATGCCAATTTCAATATATTTGAGGACATGCATTGCTTTTCTTTCATCCAGAAAAAAAATTAAAATAGGTTTTCAAATGGGAAAGCAAGCAGTTGTAAAGCAATGTGATATACAACAGGGAAACTGGATTGGGTGGGGAAGATAACTTTATAAAGAAGAAAATGAATCAAATCTGGGTTTTATTCTAAACATATCCACATTCTGCTTTAACCAAACCCTCTTGCCTTGTTCACAGGTGCTGCTCAACCTCTGATGTCCAAAATGTTGTGTGTCCAAAATGTAAATGAAGGGATTATAGCGAGATTGATTGGCTGATGTATTGATTTTGTACCAACGAGTCAGTGTAGACCCTTAGCGACTAGATAGACCTTCTCTGGAATGATGACTCTCCAAACTGACCCTTCAGGTCTCCCAATAGTGCATCCATCAGGGTTGCAATTACGTACATTCATCCTACTCCTTGGTTGTTTTCTTCTTCTTTTTCCTTCTAACTTCCAGCATTATGGACTTCTCAAGAAATCTGGGTTTTTACATAATATGATCATCTGAGCCTGGCCATTTGTGCCTTGAGTGAGAACATTGGATTGATTGCTTTATGTTCATTTGTTTTCTTACCTATCCATAGTATAATCAGGAGGCGTAGATCTGTCATGGCATCTGAATATCTTGTCCAAGGCCTTCATGGCTGCACTACCAAGTACTAGTCTGCAGCCTGTTTCTTGACGTCTGGTTCCTTTACTGATGATAGTTGATCCC